AAAGAAACAAACCCAGCAGTTTAGCCTTACAATAGAACAAATCTAACCAAAGGTTGCTAGAATGCCGTGGTAGATGAAGAAAAGCAGCTTCATATTATTATCAGTCATGCACTGGGAGTGCAGTCAATGATATATCATGATCTCTGCAATAAAGAGCTTACATCGTACCTCATCATTGGAATGCCAAAACTATAGCCGTTAAAAGATAATCGAAGAGAATGATATGGCAAAACAGATGTAGTTTTTTACTTACCAAACTTGTAAGACCTCACGCTCAACAGTATTTCTGTTTGTGTCTGTGTTACGTGATAATGCTTCAACTTCTGTACTTCAAAAGCTCCTTTGTTTTTAAATTTCACTCATTTTTATTTAAAAAAATTTAAAGATGAAAAATACCCCAAAGACAACCCGAAACTGAAAACAAAACATTTTGTTTGACCCAAAAACCCCAAAAGTTTATTTTAATTTGCCAGGAAAAAAAATCAATTTCAATTTGAAACCAACTGATTTTTTTCTTCTGTTCAGACCCAAACTGAAAAATCAGTTATGCAGCCTTGGGAATGTAAATCCATAATTCGGCCAGATACTGAAAACCATGGACTCCAGCTTTATGGCTCATTATAACAATTTATTGCCAGCTAACCCTTAATTGCTCACTTAATTTTAGGTGTCTCCCACAGTATGTGCAACAACCTGTCCCAACTTGTATTTAGCTCAAATGCTTGCGCCAGACCTAAAGAGGAGCTTTGTGAAGCTCTAAAGCTTGTCCCTTGCAACAACAGAATTTGGTTCAATAACACTGCTCTACAGCCAAAATGTTTCTGAAATAAATGTAGTCAAACTTTACTAATTCTGGGTCACTGAGAACAAAAATGATGCTTAAAATTGTTGATTGGCTCTAGTTTTCAAGATATGCTATTGGGTCAGTATATACGACCCTTGACTTGCGAATGGCGGAGGATAAGTGAGTTATAAAGGGACGGGATCTCAATTTAAACCAGAAATGACTAAAATACATCTTTGACTGGCTCTATGAATAAATCTATGACTGGGTTTGGACAGTACTTGCTTTTTAGGCAAAGCAATGAATGATGCAATCTGAAGCTGGTATTGCGTCATACATGATATGAATTGCATCATGTTATTCCTAAAGGTTGCTAGAATGCCGTGGTAGATGAAGAAAAGCAGCTTCATATTATTATCAGTCATGCACTGGGAGTGCAGTCAATGATATATCATGATCTCTGCAATAAAGAGCTTACATCGTACCTCATCATTGGAATGCCAAAACTATAGCCGTTAAAAGATAATCGAAGAGAATGATATGGCAAAACAGATGTAGTTTTTTACTTACCAAACTTGTAAGACCTCACGCTCAACAGTATTTCTGTTTGTGTCTGTGTTACGTGATAATGCTTCAACTTCTGTACTTCAAAAGCTCCTTTGTTTTTAAATTTCACTCATTTTTATTTAAAAAAAATTTAAAGATGAAAAATACCCCGAAGACAACCCGAAACTGAAAACAAAACATTTTGTTTGACCCCAAAAGTTTCTTTTATTTTGCCAGGAAAAAAAATCAGTTTCAATTTGAAACCAACTGATTTTTTTCTTCTGTTCAGACCCAACCTGAAAAATCAGTTATGCAGCCTTGGGAATGTATATCCATAATTCGGCCAGATACTAAAAACCATGCACTCCGGATTTATGGCTCATTGTAACAATTTATTGCCAGCTAACCCTTAACTGCTCACTTAATTTTAGGTGTCTCCCACAGCATGTGCAACAACCTGTCCCAACTTGTATTTAGCTCAAATGCTTGCGCCAGACCTAAAGAGGAGCTTTGTGAAGCTCTAAAGCTTGTCCCTTGCAACAACAGAATTTGGTTCAATAAAATATATTGCATCAACTACCTTGTCTCTCTGAAATCCTTAAACCAACACTGAAAACCACATTGTTGGTTCATATTGAATGTGCAATCTGCTGTAACCCCCATCCTTTTCAGCAGTACTACTACCTACCCAATATTTCCCCATTTTGTAGTTGGGCATTTGATTTTTTTCTTGCTAAGTCCAGCATTTAGTTCTTGTCCAGGGGCAGGAGCTTAGGGAGCTTAGGAGCTTTGACTCATTCCTGGCATGAGACAAACTGAAGGAACCTTCAGAAACAGTGGGAAAGCTTCCCTCTGAGCCACCTTGTTTTTAAATTTGCAAATGTGCTGTGCAACTAGACAAACGCTGTAGGATGATCACAGGGAGGGGGGCAGTGATTTTAAGAGTTAATGATTTCTACACTTGGAGATAAATGATGCTGTTAGCCAGGCTGTGACAGCCCCTCTCATGCCACTTGGATTGCACAGGGTGTGACAGAAGAGTCTGCTCTCTCGCTCATTTTTCTGCCCAGCTAGGCTAACACAACACTGGGGAATCTAGTGTACCTCTGAGAACTGGGATTGTGAACCACCGATTTGAATTTCTGTAGATATTAACCACCCCCTCTACTTTTCCCCACCCATAGGCAGAATGAATTGTGTCATGTGCACCAATATGGAGATGATGTGTGACACATAACAATATTCATGTGGTGTGGGTTGGGATGAGGGGTTCAGCATATGGGAGGGAGGTCAGAATGAGCAGAAGGTTGGGGTGCAGTGTTGTGAGGTTTCTGGCTGCGGATACTGGCTCTGGGGTAGGGCCAGGGATGAGGGGATCAGGCTAGGGCAGAGGGTCGGGGTGCAGAGGTTTGGGTTATAGGTGGAGATACTGCAAGGAGAGGATTCCCCCAGCTCTTTCTCACACTGGGGCAACACTTGGGGTGTGTCTAGACTACATGCCTCCTTCGACAGAGGCATGTAGATTAGCCAGATCGGAA